CTACATAAGGAAAACAGTTGCTTAAATTATTGAACTTCAGATTTATGCCCTGAATTACTCTCCTGGGCCTCTTGTCATGATAATGCTCAGGATTTTCAGCCCCTTCCCTTTAATATGTGTGTGTGTTCTGACTGGACCTAGCTCTGTACCTGAAAAGACAGTGACTCTGAAATGACCTGCTTGCAGCCAGCTCTGCTGTCCACCATAGCCAGCTCAGAGCACAAGCTGCCCTTGTCCTGGTGCTCTGGTGCACTGAGCACACTCACACTCAGCAGCTCTTTCATTTCCCTCCAAGGACAATGCTGAGCCTACACAGCAAGCAAACCTGCCCAGCAGAGCCCCTAACCAACCAGATTCACCTCTGTGCAGCAGGCTGCTTTGTCCCAGCCTGGATTATGCCAGCCCCTTTATCATCCTGATGCTCCTCTTGTGTCACCTCATTGCCACCACAGCACCCCAGGCTTCACAACCCCAACACACTGCTGCTGGTTCATCTGTGACAGGGACAGGTGGTGCAGGCAGCACAGCATTAGGAGACTGTCACTTCTGCAAAGCAAGCTACCTGCCAGGGCTGGGCAACACACTGTAAGGCACCCTTGAATTTGAAGTGCTTATTCTAATTCACACAGCCTACTCTCACTTCAGGTACTTTTGATTAAACTCTTCACTGCTCTGCTAAAGCCTATGTAGCGATTTTTAATTGTTTAATTTCTGATAACATATACTTGGGCTAGTTAGTGACAGAGCTTGTCCAAACTCCAGAACTCTGGAGGAGTCAGAACAACTCTCCCTACTCCTGCACTTGACTTCATCAAAGGAATCTGAGTACATGCAGCTCCAAATAAGATATTTCTTTTGAAACACTAACTCTATTCCTGGGAGGCATATCAAGTTTCAGAACAATACTTCTTGTGCACCTGAGACCTTTAAGAGCAGTTTAATAGTAAAAACATCACATACAATATACTTAGTAAGGAAAGAGTATTGGAAAAAAAAACTTCTCCTAGACACTTCCAAACTGGAACTAACTAGCTCCTGACAATGCAGGTTTTAAAAAAGAAAATAAAAAAGGTGAGCATTCATGCCAGTTTTAAAAAACTATGAAGTATCTGTCATGAGAACTGTGCACTTTTTGAATTAGGAAAGCTGCTTCCCAAAAAACAGAACACAGGAATTTGTCAAAGGCAACATGGGGTCATCAGCAAGCATGGAGCTGTGTTGGTATTTGCCATGAGCTAATATTAGACCATGGACACTCTAAGGTCGCTGGTGTGTAAAAGACCACTGTCTCCAGCCCACTACCCCACTGTCACAGACATCTCAGAGATGCAACTTTCACTTTAATTAATTTGTAAAGTATTGTTTCTTTCAAAGGCTGACTGACAGTGATAAACGGATGAACTACAGGCCAGATGCACTGTATATTTTTTAGGCTATTTAGTGACACAGGGTGTGTCCTGGCTGTACAAGAGGTGGTGCAGGGGGGTGAAGGGAAAGGAGGAGGGGTAGGAAAAAACTAAAATGAACCCAGGAGAAACATGGAATGTTGATTTTTATTTTTCTTTTTAAGGGAAAAAACAAGATCTCCTTCCTCAAACCATACCATGTACTAGCAAAAGAGGGAAGAGAAAGCAAGCTATGACAGTAAATAAGACATGTCAGGTACAGCTAAGTAGGCTGCAGTTCTCTTAAGATACTCCCTTTTCCATTCCTTCAGCTCTGCTGCAGACTGCATTTATGCCCCCTCACAGATGAGTGGGAGAGGAGGCACAGCTATGCCATGATGCAGCCTCTGAGTAACACACACAGCAAAACTGGAAACAACTGCAATAACTTTATGCATTCAGTGCCAACTTTTAACCAGTAGTTTATTCTTCAGTATTCACTATGGTGAACACAGTACGGGAATAAAAAATGAGGCCAGTTTTCATCAAGGTTGAGAACAGTAACCCAGAAGTGCACGTGAACTCACCCACACCAGCAAGCCAGTAAGTTAACAAAGTGACATGGGAGAGTTGCTTTCTGCACCACTGGTGCAGTCAGCCATGCAAGAAGCTTCAGCTCTTTCTTTTCAATAGATCCCAACGGTTTGAGAGGAGAAGAAGAACATGAGCTCAAGCCAGCTCCCTACCAAACTGAGGCACAGGGTAATCCTTCTGTCCCACTGTGTGCAGAACTTCTCTGTATCAGCTGGACAAAGCTTACATTACACAGTAAGTGAACAGGAAAAGCAGACTTTTCTGTACCATGACTAAAACACTGAAAGAACCAGCAGTACATTAATTCTGCAAAAGCAACAGCATGAAGGCAATCTCTTCAGTGCTGCACTTCGAGACTGTTGCAAGTGATCAAACTCATTTCTTCTGAGGCTTACTACCAGTTAGAGAAGACACCATAACAGACCACATGCACTCTGCCCTATCCTCAGACAGGAAGCATATTGGCTTAGCTTTTAACTACTTAAAACCAGCTTTAGCACAACATAATGCAACTAAAATTACCTTGTCTACTGCTCAAAGTTCAGAATAGCAAAAGAAGACCCCAGATGGAACTGAGCATTTAATTCAGTAGAAGCTGGAGCAGAGGAAGTACTCACCCATCTGTGGGAAAACAATGCAAGGCACTCATTTCTAGCTGATAAAACAGCAAAGGAAATAAAAATAGAGCCAGGTGCTTCCTACAGCAGAAACCAAAGTAACAGGGGAATGTGGCACTGCAGAGCAGCCCACTGCCTCTCGCAAACCACAGGCAGTGCAACTTTTGACTTGGGTGTTCACCTCCAAATGCTTATCACCCTGCAGCTGCAGCCAGCTGAGCACCTAGACAAGGAGTATGCAACTGCAAACACCTCTTTTCAGCCTCCTGCTGCCAAACAGAGCTACCTCTCCATGCCTGGGGGAAGGCCTGCCAGCCTACAAGCAGCAGAGAGGTTTGGCTGCCTCTTCTCTACCAGGAAGGCTGTGAAAAGCCTGAGTGAAAGCAGAACACACACTGACATGCTGCAGCAAACCTGATGGATGGCTAACCTGCCAGCAAACTCAACTGGGCTGCTGCTAGCCACCTGTGCAAACTGTGGGATTTGATTCCAGCTGCCCTCACAAGGCATGACCTCCCTTGCAGGGTCAGAACATCAGCCACCCTCCAGACAAAATGACACAACTACAAGAGATCACACTTTCAACTCTCCCCCTAGCAGACAACAAGCCTAGAGACAACTCACAGCATAGAGGTTCTCTGATCCCAAATTCAACATCTGCCTGCTTCCCATTAAACCCAGAATCACTTTTGTACTTCCTCTTTTGCTAAGGGAGGCACTGGCTGTCCACTTGCCTGTTTTGGCATAAACACAAATGCATAAACTGCATTCACAGAGCAGTTCAGCTTAGAAGGTGCCTGCACACTTCTGTATTTTTTCCCAAAATAAAGTATTCTTGCCCAGGAGAGTGCAAAAGTCCAGTTCTTCTCTTCCACAAGATATACATATGGCACTGAATTTCACTGAACAGTTGAAAACAGTGCTTTGTTCTGCTGAAGCATGCTCTGGAGTTGCTTTACTAACGATAAAGCCACTGAAGAGTTTTCAGCACTGGTTAGCCCTTTTAAGATACTCCTTAGTCCTAAAATATTAAGTGCTTTTAAATAAATTTATATTTCCCTAGGGTGATCTGGGCAGGATTTGCAGCTCACTGCATTTAAAAGGCCTTTGGAATGATCATAAAAAACCAAGTTTCATATTAGCTCACCTGAACAGAAAAAAACCCTAAATATTTAAAGGTAATCTACACACCAAAAATCATGCCCAGGTCCCTCCCTATAATTACTTTAACAATCACACTGACCCATGCAGACACCTACATGGTAACACAAACCATTCAGCTGATATAAATTACATGACTACAGTAGAGAGGGGTTTCTTTTTCCAGAAGTTAGCTTGAGCACTAAGTGAGAATCACCCACCCACATTAGTTTTACAGTCAGTGAAGAAAGATGTTCCCACAAACAAACCTGATTCTGGCAATTTCTGAACTGCAGGACTTTGTTGCTTCTGGCACCAAGTGAACATCCTGGCAAATTCCTGATGACAGGTCAGGTGGAGACCAAAACATTATTGCTCCCCTAGTCAACACAGAGCTCTCTGCTAACACCTCCCAAAGACTGCCAGTCAGAGACCTGAAGCAACAAGCACTCTACAGAAAATATGGAATGATCTCCTTCTCCAAGTTGCTTTTCTAAAGGGTGGATCTTTTCTCAAGCTGACAAAGAGGAAACACGGGAAGTTAGTCTTCACCTACAAACCTTTGTGACTACTCCCATCCCATCTAAGATGTCTGTTGCAGTGACACAGCTGAGAAATTTTACTCCATTTTAACACAGGCTAAAATCTCTTTTCATACAGCGTTTTTCAGCAAAGCTCTCAAATAAGCATGTTATTAATTTAGACAGCAAATAAAAAATAGAAATATTGCTGCTGTGTAAATAAAATGTTGTAATTACAGGCATAAACAAAGTTGTGTATTCAAGTGAATCAAACTTCTCATTTCAAATGCAGTGACTTTCTGTCACTTTCAGACTGACTACTATCCAAGGCAATATAAATAAAATGGGGATTTCCACAAAAAATCCACCAGACTATGCTCTACTGAAAATACATTTACATTATGCTTATTAGAAACTTATGCATAACCAAGATGTGTATTCTTGCAGATACCTTTTTATGGAAACTTTAACATAAAATATGCTTTCATTTTACCACAAACATTTAAAAGCTGAAAATATATGTAGTACAACAGCCTAGTCTGACCACACTGGAAATATTACAAATGTTTGACTGCTGAAAGGTAATAGAAATACCAGTTCACACACACCCCTTCTAAGTGAAATAGTAACTTTTAAGTATAACCAATAAAAGAGCTCAGCACTAGTGAGATTACGTCATTGTTTCCTGCCTGAGAAGAGGAGCTATTTTAGCTAAGCAAAGCTGAGCAAAGAAGAGGAAGTCTAAACCTTCTACAGATTTGGGGCCATGAAAGAAGCATCTCTGAAGAAATTTTGTAGAGCGCAAAAGGTGAGTAATGATCCCTTATGCTGTGCTAACAAAGTAACTTGGATTTCATACATGTTGCTAAGAGACTTTGTTCAGAAGCAGAACATGGGCATTAATTCTAGAACTAATGAAAAGATATTGGATTTTTAATGCACTTTCAAAATATCAGCAGCATTCTATAAATAACATTTAAAGAAAAATTATTGCATTTGTAAAAGCATAGTACCATAAATACTGTTTAGGATTTTAACAAAAAATTTAAGAGTATGCAATAAATGAAAACATTGGTAAGTACATTTATCACTAAAAGAAAAATGTTTGTTTTCATGAAATGAAAACCAGGAGATCATGTTACTTGGTGTCTCTGTGCTTCACTGAAAGCCATGTTATCCTTGGGGAAATGCAACCAGATATAAGGGACAGACAAAGTAAAAAGGGAGATTGGGAAGAGAGATACACACATGGCCCTTTAAATGGAACCACTGTTACCTAACTCACATTAAGAATCTGGAGGAAGAGATTTAATTGTGATTTTGCTGCCAACATCTTGTTCTCGTACAAGGCACCTAGCTGGCCTTCACAATTCACATTAGACATTCAGAATGTCAGTTATCATTAAAAAATTAAAAGATTGATAAAATATACAGACAAACAACAGAGGAATCATTCAGAATTAACACAGACAAGTCTTCCCAAGCCAGTGACTCCAAGGGGCTCTTCAGCAAGTGCTCTAATCAATACCAGTAAGTAAATGTTCCCATTATAAAAAATGGTAACTAGGGCAAAACCATCCACCCAGAGGCACCCAAAGATATGCTTGCGCTGACTGGGAGATATCAACCTGAACTCCATGCAGACAAGTACCAATGAAAAAGCAAAATATCTCCAATTGTGTATAAATGCAAATAGGTAACATGCACTTTTCAAAAATCTCAATATTTCTTACCTATATAAATGCTACATTTTAGGTTCTTAAAAATTAACTGGCATGCATTTAAACTCACAAAGTTGGGAAACAGTCTCCAAAAACCAAGGAAAAAAAAACCCCAAAACCCAACAAACCCTTTCTGTTACAGCAAGTCAGTTCTTTGATATATCTCAAAATTGTCATGAACTTGAAATAACCAGCAAACAAGGCATAAAAAGTAGATCACACCAGACTGAGCTTCCTATCTTCCCATCAAAATCAGGCTACTGGTTATTTTGAAAACATGACCTGACCAGAAATAATTACAGTTACTGCAAGACCAAAGGAGACAAGAGCAAAACGAAAACTAACATCCATGATGTTTCTTAATATTCAAGTGAATGATTCTACCTGTCAATTCACCTGCCAAATCACTCAGGATATTGAATTTGGTAGTTCTGCACTGTCAAACACAATGACTAGCAAGAGAGAAAAAATAACAGAACAAAAGAGGAAAAAAAACCCACTTACAATGTGCAAGGGCAAGGGCGAGGTGTATATTAAGCAACATTTGGACAATTTTGTGCAACAGTAGTGAAAGTGGAACAGTGTACCAGATAATATTTTAACTATGCTGCTAGCACATGCACAACATTTTTTAGTATATGCCATCTAACCTTCAATAAGGTTTGCTAGCATTATTTAATTATTTTATTTTTCTTATTTTTAGAGTTCTTCATGCAATGAGGAATTTGAGAGGCATTTATACAGATGCACCCCAAACTTCTTTTTTGTATTACATACATGGCTTTTCCCAAACAAAACATAAATTCTGTTGCATGTTCTAATGTCCTCATCTGAGCACAAAACATACCTTTTTTGTTTTGTACAGCTGAAAAAAAGACCTTGAAGTTAAGGGTTAAATATTTCTATGCATAACTTTAATATGTCTGTAAACTGGAGAACTGTAAGAAAATTAGAAGCCCAAACTATATTTCAAGGCAGAAACGAACCTATATAAAGATTTAACAGGTCATATTTAAGTTAGTTACTCCATGGTACCCTTCTCAGATGCAGCTGGTATTTTCCAGTGTCAAACCAGGATGCCAGATTAATAAACACTGGTTCAATCCCCTGTGCATTCCTGTAGCACTGAGAAAGTATTTGGTAACATTACAGAGAAAGCATTGACCAGATGGGCAGTAACAATAAACCTGGGTTTCAATGCATTCTTCACTTCTGGAGATAAAACACACAGGAACTAGGCACCCTTCTGCTCTGGAGAACAGTTCTGGTGCCTAACAGAAACTGTGGAACTTCCTTGGCCGTTTGTCACAAGTGGGAAGATCAGACAAACAACTAACTTGTTCCTTCTCCTCCTCCTCTTCACAAAGCTGCCACAGGGCTGGGTAAAAGGCCAGACAAGAGGAACCCTCCCACACAAGAAACTGTGACCACACCAAGAGCCAGGAAAGTGCTGGGGGTGAAGGTTAAACAAAGCACTCATGCAAGCACCAGGTAAGGTCTGCCATCCTCATGGGCTCCAGAGAAAACCGGGGATCCTCTCCTCCAGCTCTCATCACCTCAGCTTGCACAGGGACATTTCAGATGTCCAGCTCCTATGATCAAGAAGCTGGATGAAGGAACATAACTATGCTCTGGGGTAGCTGGATACAAGACAGCAACTTTTCCCCCAGACAAATACTGTTCCCATATGGCCTGGCTGGAGACTTTGCTGCTTTCCTCCTTTTTAGTTTTTTAAACAGGAAGTCTATTAATCTATTAATTTTATTTTTCTGTTGGGTGGGTGGTTCTGATGTCCTGGGATTAAACACTAATTAAACATTAGAAGATATGCAGATACTCAAAGAGTTTTTTTAAGTGTCTTTAATAAGCAAGCACCTGCTCTTTTGGGAGTTAAGTAGGTCCTAGACAGATAAAAGGCAAAGTCAATACTCTTTGCATATCCAAATGTCACTAAATGCCATGCTGACTTGTTTCTATTCATAGTTAGTTTTAGTCAAGAATTTTTTTAACAGAGACAGCTTGAAGAAATATTTTCTTTAGAAAGTAGCTGTCATAGCTCAAATACAACTATTCAACTATTTCAATCTAATTATCAGCTACTGATGCACACCTGGAATGCCAATCTTGACTTTTTGATTCCTTATATTAAAAGGCCCTGTAAGTAGCAAAAATATTTTATTCAAACATGCTTATAAATGCTATTTTCACAAGTCTGACAACACGTTTCCCTCAGAGGATGATAATGTATTTGCAGTCAGAAAAAGCAACAAAACTAGCACATTTCAGAGCTAAACAATAATTTCGTCACTAAACACCATCCTAAAACAATCTTCCTGTTTGTTTTTAAAGACAGATTTTATTTGACTGAGAATAACTTCCCATATTTTATCTAATTTTAGGGGATTTATGGAGCGCAACTACTATTCCTAAGTTCAATTAAACTATGACGCCAGAAAATTCCCACCCAGAAGAATACAGGATTGCATCACTGGTCTTCTACAGCTTTGTGTTCACAGTGGGATTGCTGGTGAATGCCACTGCACTATGGGTGTTCAGCTGCACTACCAAGAAGAGAACAACTATAACTGTATATATGATGAACGTTGCATTACTTGACCTGTTTTTTATCTTTTCCCTGCCTTTCCGGATAATCTACCACGGGACAGAAGCGTGGCCTTTTGGAGATACGTTCTGCCGGATCCTCGGGGCTTTCACTGTCTTTTACCCAGCCATTGCTCTGTGGCTGCTCGCTTTTATCAGCGTAGACAGATTTATGGCTATTGTCCAACCCAAACATGTCAAAGAACTAAAAAATACAAAAAAAGCTGTGCTGGCTTGCACTGGAATCTGGATAATGACCCTCTCAACAACATCCCCGTTGGTGTTTTTACGATCTGATCCAGACCAAGCCTCAAATTTCACCACCTGCCTGAAAATGCTTGATATCATCCATTTAAAGGAAGTAAATACACTGAATTTTTGTCGCTTAATTTTTTTCTTTTTGACCCCCTTGTTTATCATGATGGGGTGTTACCTTGTCATTATTTATAATTTTATTCATGGCAAGACTTCCAAACTGAAGCCTAAGGCAAAGGAGAGATCCATAAGAATTATAGTTACTCTGATTGCTCAGGTACTCATCTGCTTTGTACCCTTCCACATTTGCTTTGCCTTCCTGATGCTGCAAGATGAAAATACAAGTTACAATCCCTGGGCAGCCTTTACCACCTTCCTCATGAATCTCAGTACATGCTTGGATGTTATACTGTACTACATTGTTTCCAAACAATTCCAGGCAAGAGTCATCAGCGTAATCCTTTATCGCAATTACCTTCGAAGCGTGCGCAGGAAAAGTTTTCTAACTGGAAGTGTAAGATCACTCAATAATATGAACAGTGAAATGATATAAAAAGACAAAAAATGTCAGGGGACTTTTACAATGCAAACAAGGGATTCTTTTTCCAAATTCTAGCACTTGGCTACACAGAAGGATGTTCTATAACCAAAGGTAACAGATATATTTGTTGCATTGTAAAAATGACAGAAGCAGAATAATAATTGGACCTCTTTTTATCTGCTCAACATCTTTTGTTGTTTCACCTGAAATGAACTAATACCTAGCATCAGTGTTAAACTTTCCAATGCTTTTATCACCTCAAGCGACTATGAATATTGACAGATGTGAAAGTGACTATTAATATAATAAAGCAGACAACACTGAAGAATTATGATGAATTGCATATATGAATTTTTTATATTTGCATAATCAAATGCTCCTGAAATTACCGTATATCCCACATTTCTAAAATTAATTTCATTCTCTCAATATCAAATTCATTATGACTTAATGAGAAGGCATATGTAGGTAAAATTTATATTTTACTTAATTAAAAACTCTTTGATGCAGATTTCTTTGTAACTGACTATATTCTACAGTCATAAAAATATCATCAAAGGGTAAAAATGGTCAGACTGTTCATTCCCTACCTGTGGATATGATGTGCACATTTATGACACCTTACTTTTGCACAAAGTATCTTTTTACATATAGGAAAATATTAATTTCTCCAGACACATTAGCAGCCTATGTCCTAGCAACAAACTCTAGGTAACAAACACAAGTAACTGCAGTAGCTACTCAAGCTTTCAACTTCTTTTAAATACTCAGACATTACAAAAAATGTATTTTTATAATATCAAGCATATGCTTTTTGTCCCTTATATATCAGTCTTTAGATACTTTCAACAGATGCTCTGGAAAAGCAGAAATAAAAAAGGTCTGATATGGTGTTTAATACTAAAAATCTTACTCCAAGAGCTTTTATATTACCTCAGAGTGTGCAACATATGGAAACTCAAGTCTGTGTAATCTCACCTGCCAGAAGTTTAACCACAAAGGGTTGCAAGCTCTGTGGTCCTACTGTAATATGCATATCTTTTATTAAGTGCAGAAATCTCAAACATAGGCTATGCAAAACTGAACCACTGAACACTTTAAATCTGTAAGAACTTCAGCTGCAAGCACGAAATGGAGTAACAACCTCTGGCACTCAATTTTTCAAAAACATACAAAATAACAATACAAAATGCATATGCATTTAAAAGTGAACATAAAGCACATGACTTACAGCTCTGTTGCCTTTCTGATTTAAGGCAGAAATCAGCACAACCTGATTCCAGTTTTTACAAACTGAATGGAGCCAAACAATTTAGACTGAACAAATACAACAATAATTTGTGTCCTGCAAGCCATGTTGCAATCATGTTAACAGAGGAAATGAGACTAACGGATTGGAAACTAATCATTGTACGGATAAATTATAAATTAAACACAAATCATAGCTAAGAAATAAATGCTTGAAATTACAGTAGTTGTGCCAAGAACCTTTACACTTCAGTTCAAAAGAGGATTAAATTAATTTGAAGTGATACATGAAGAAGTTTTTTTAAAATGAAATCTTCAGAAAACAATCCCCTTGAAACTATATCTAAAATAACCAATTCATTAGAAGCTACTTACAAACCAGAAGGCAAGCTGTTGATGGTGATGCCAAATATATACTGAGTGATTTCTACAAGCAGAAGGTCAAACAAAGCTGAGAGCATCCAAGCGCCCAGTAAAAAAGACTGGAAAGAAAAGGGTTAATTTAAATCAATTCAACAGTTTGAAAATAAGGTTTTAATATACCTCTAAATATAAGAAAAAATAAGAAAACCTCTATAGTAGTTCAATAAAGACAAATTCAATCTTTAACACAACATAATTCCAGGTCTACTTGTCTAGATACTGAAGAATCAAGAGAAAGATTGTTTCCAAAAGATATCTTACAAGTGATACAACTGCAAATAGAAATTAGAATAATCCACTGACTGCAAGGTCTTATCAATATAAATTTAAATTTATTAAAACCAAATTATCTTTACAACCCTTTAACACATTTCTATACAACACACTAGAAATAAAACTTCAGTATTCATCCAGGAGTACAAAACTAAACTGTATAGAAAAGTTTTTATTAAAAAACTCTCAAAACTGAACTTACTGAAAATTTTCTGCTGCCATATCTTCTTTCAAATATTCGGAAGTTGTAAATGAGCAGAGTGCTGCAGAATGTGTCTTTCAAATCAAGACATATTGTTCTTCCACATACTAGTCTCCAAATCTGGAAAGTTAATATCATCATGTTAAGCCACTCCTCCTTCAAGGAAATTCTTTACAGAATTTGTGCTCAGAGAGAATGCAATACTGGAGTCAGGTAAGAGAAATGCAGCACAGTTAAGGAGGGAAATATAGAGAGTAGCATGTTATGGAGAGTCTCTTTAAAATATTTTCAAAGCAGATGTCTAACTGTTAAAATAAATCAACAACTCAAATTAACTCAAAATACACTTTTGAGGTTCCTAGTTTACACTTAGAAATAAAAATGTAAATCACAACCCTAGTGAATTTAGAATTATAAAAAAAAATTTTTGAAGCAACCTCAAGATACAAACTAGTACAGTGTAACTGTTCTAAGAAGGTCTAACCAGATCAGCTTGCTCAGGGCCATGTTCAAGTTGAGTCTTGAACATCTTTAAGGATGGAAACTGTTCCTCTGTTCCATCAGTCTTACAGTAAAAAACATTCCCTTTAAATGGGATTTCTTGTATTTCAATTCTTGCCCATTACCTCTTGTCCTTTCACTGGGCCTGGCCCCACCTTTTTTGCTCCCTCACATTAGGTATTTACAAGCACTGGTAAGATCTACCCTAAACCTTCTCTTCCCCAGGTTAAACGATCCCAGCTCTCTCAGGCTCTCCTCATACAGCAAATCCTCCAGCCCCTGACCAGCCTGGTGGTCCTCTACTGGAACTCTCTGCAACATGGCAAGGTCAATTTTGTACTCAGGAGCCCAGCACAAGCGACAGCACTTCAGACTGCCCTCACTGAGAGTAGAGATCATCACCCTCCAGGCCTCCTTGTGAGGCTCTTCCTACCTAATGCAGCCCAGGATACTGTTGGGCTTTTTAGCCACAATGCTGCATTGCTGTTTCATGTTCAATTTAAGCCTCCACCAGGACCCTCAGGGCTCTTCCTGTAAAGTGATTTCCAGCTGCTCAGCCCACAGCCTGTACTGGTGCATGGTGTTACTCCTCTCTGATGCAGGAGTTTGCATTTGTCCTTGCTGTACTAATGTTCCTATTGACCCTTTTCTTCCCTCTAACTGGCTGCAGAACTAGCAGGTGTAACAACTCCAAATCCAAGTTTTACATCACCCACAGGCTTGCTTAGAGAACGCTATGTCCTACTGTCCAAGTTATGAATGAAGACACTAAACAGTACTGGCCCCAATCCACTTCACTCACCATTCCCACTATCCCATGTCACCATGCCCAGTTTTAAATGCTAGCCTGAGTATGATCCCTCCTGAAGTCAAGACTGGCAGGGCCATGACCTTGCAGCTGAATATTTCAAGCACTAACTGAGCAGCTCTCACACAGACTATGAAAGGCTTCCAGCTTTACTGCTCTTTGCTTTAGCCAGCTTAAAAAAACACATAGATATGATGTAATGAAGATCTTTCACACAGCATTTTCACTGCTCTTGAGGGCCCTCTGTATGGAGACAATGACCTTTTAGTTTTGGACAGCACATATTTTGCCTTCCAAATCGAATGTACTCTTCTTCAACTGTTCGCTTTAATTTGTGTGCTTTCCACCAGATTTAAGAAGTGTTAAAATCCAACATCCAAAATGTTTGTTCATTCCTTGAAAAAATACCTTTCCATTAAACATCCTTGCAGGTGAATTTATTCTAAACAAAATTTCTTTTAAGAGTTCTCATTTGAATAATAGCACCAAACAGGAGTTAAAAAATCTATTCTCTCTGATCTCAGAGGTATCCAGTGATATAGTACATAGCTTGCTCCAAGGGCTGTGGCAATAAGTGAAACAATCTCATTAAATAAAAAATCCAAACTCACAAATTCCCCCAAAGCACCACAATAAAAGTGTCACAGCTTGTACAGATACTTGCAAGTGTTTATGGTTAAGACACAGTAGAGATGTTTTCATAGAATAAAATGCAGCTACTACTGGTTTTCAGCAGATCAAACATATGGAAAGACAGGCTTCCTCTGAAGACAGATCTCAAAACAAACAAATAAACAAATCCCAAATCCACACAATTTCCATTTAAAACTTGAATAGTTTCTCAGACTTTTTCATTCCCCTCCCCAAACACTTGGCAGTAACATTTTTTAAAGGCAGACATCATTTATGTATTTTCACTGCACTGCATCAGCAAGATACTTGGTAAATATGAGCAGTGCTCTTGCAGAGTTGTAATTTATTATTACAATAAAACTCTTGTTTTTGACAAGAAAGATTGCAGAGACCACAATAGCACAGAGCATCACTAGCTAGGTCTAATAATCTTTTAATGCTTACAGGCTACAGCTGGCATCCTCAAAGACATTAATTTGACTACATACCTATTGTTTGATGCAATTGTAATATCTGTGGGGTAAGATAAACACAGAGGCATTTGCTAACCTTTCTCTATTGAGCGTAGTTTGCCACTTCCAAAAATTAAAAACATCCCAAAACAAATACCCACAGAACTTATCTAATCACTTTTAAGTGTATTATTTCAACATTTAGAGCTGATACTATAGGATCCTTAATTCAATTTAGAATAAAACATTACAAGATACAGTATCTAAAAGATAGAGTACCTTAGTTTGAAACAGGAATGAGTATGAAATTAACCAATTCAGCCATTACTGAAGAGCATGACAAACTCCCCACCATCTGGAATTTTCAATTTAGAAGCAGCAGTTCTATTCAACAAGCAAAGTTTAGTTTTCCACAACTAACTACAACAGTTAGTTAGAGAATGAAAACTACAGCCTCTGTTGTTAAAATAAGTAATTTATAATCAGCATGCCTAATCAAAGTAGCCCTCTTCAGCCTCAAAAATTAGGCACACTAAGATACTGACATTCATATCAAAATATTTGTATTAATAAATGGGTTAAGTCACACTTCATTCACAGCAAGTTTACAAATGCCAGTGCCTGAAAGGAAAAACAACACAAACCAAGTAATTTCCCAGACAAGAAAAAGAAATGAAAAGCCATATTGATGGTTTCAGATCACTTTTCTCATGTTTTCCAAAAAGTAGCATACTGGGGTTACATAAAAAAAGGTAAGAACAAGCTGGTCTACAGCAGCGAACAAAGGGAAAGAACCAGAGGACAAACAGACTGTGGGGGAAAATTGCATAGAAAACCACAGTTTGCAGTCTCTTTTCACAGAAAGTGAACAGACTCTTACCTGAAAATCCTCTTTTACAGCTTGTAGGTTATACGCAAAGAACTTCTGATAATGTTGGAAGAGCAGAGTCAATAGAATCGAGATGGCACTTGGGACTAGTAACAAACTCTTTGACAAAGGCGCTTTATCTTAAAGACAAAACAAATAAACAATCAAACCATTTTAGAGATAAGTCTTTCACATTCAAAAAGTGACATATTTAAACAGGTGACTGCAAGACATAATAGCAGTGATACCACCTTGACTTTTTAGCTCAACAACTTCCCAAGTTCTCAAAAACTTGCAAATAGATAGGAAGAACACATTAATCAAAGGAAATGTTTAGAAATATTAATGACAGTTAAATATTAACCAGACATTTTGTTTCCAACATTGTCTCATGAAATTGGCTACAGCTAAACCTAAGTTCTTTGCATCTACTGAGGTCACGTCCTCCTATACTGCCCTCCTAAGGCTCCATCGCATTTCAGGAAATAAAATAATCACTCTTTTTTCTAGCAAAATATACAAACACATCTAGTTAAATATTCCTGTTTCCTTTGCCTTAGGGATTAAGATCAGCTTTCTCTTAGGGGCTATGAAGTAGGAACCACCTGAATAAATGGACTTTCTCACCACTGCACTTAGATCCACCATTCAAGGAATCATATCTAAGTCAATTTACGGGACACTCATCTTCCTTCCATTCAATCATTACAATTATTCATGAATAAATTACTAGATTCAGAATGTTTGTGAAATCTTCCTTCCCTCTAGGGGCACGACGTTCAGAAAGGACACTCACAAGAAAGCAGGCAAAGAACAGCAAAATCTGCAATACACATTTCTCATTTACTAAAATCTGCCAAGTAGGATGTCCAGCAGGAGCATAGCCAGCAATTCACCCTAACCTGCTGGTGCAGTTGATGCAATAAAACAAACTCTTGCCCAAAAACTCAAGCCAACACAGAGAATCTGAAATATTATTTTTTCTATGACTTTTCTCCTTTTCACAGATGTAACCTGAATTACATTTACTTCCTTTCCAAACACATCAGCTATGGCACAGAATCCATTCATTTTCAGACAACTGTTTTTGCATGGTACTACAAAAATCCATAGTTCTGTTGCCATTCTTCTTAATATAATAAAAGGAGCAATGAGATTACATTAAAAGTACTAATGGGGAGTAAAAAGCAGGAACACAGCAGGAAAAAAACTGCATGAAACAGTATAATACAATAAACATTTACTACCTGTCCAGATTAAAGTGAGTATCATGAATGATTTTTTCAACATCTGCTGTGCACTAGAATAGTGAACTGCTAGAAAAAGCAGATGGCAACAGGCACCAAAGAGCAGATTTTAATTATGGCACAATCCCACTGCCATCGAAAATATGGCTCTTGCTACATAGTTTAAGCATGATCCTCATCCAAGTATTAACTGATGACATCAAGAATTACTTTGATGGGCACAGTTAGCTGTTCACTACCTTGAAGTCTGCAGTCTTCTGATGTTCACCATGGGAAGAAAACATCTCTTGTACTTAAAACTATTAATTCAGTCCACACCCATACCTTTTGAGTTCATTATTTAAACATGCAGCTTCCATTTAAGCAAGTATGGCCTTGAAGAACCATCCTTTTATAGAAGTTAGGCAGTGACTTGGATCACAGATTGATGTTACTATGCTAAATATAAGCTCTACTTTTATGATTGCATCAGACACCAGTCTGGCTGATTCTTTTTTTTTTAATGCAAGAAAACTGTCCACATTTCAATCTACTATCTTTCCTTGGGTTTGTTTTTTGGGTTTTTTTCCTCCAAAAATAAAGTCTATATTCTTTACACATCCATTTTTTAAATTATTCATTCCTCTAATTCAATTGGACTTTTCAAAACCATCTGAAGCCATCAGAGAACTGTACAGCACTGGGGAGAAAAAAAAGAAGCTGGAGCTTCCTGAATGCTACTACACAGACAATGCACACAGATATTCATTTGAAACCTCAAGCAATACTCCCTGAGTTAACTTAGTTAAATTAACATTTCTTAATGTGAAAAGGTCAATTTTATAATCAGGATACAGATTTTTGATACTTGGAAGTACAGCCTAATTCAGAAGAATTGTAATAGTCACAACAGTACACATTTCTGAACCAAAGTTTGATAAAAATTGTTACTTTACTGTATTTTAAATTTAAATTTTACTTTAAATTTACTTTAAATTGTTATTTTACTATATTTTACTAAATGCATTTACATTATTTCATTAATTTTAAGAAATTAATTAGTTCACAAGAACTAATTAATCCTATAAAACTTTTTACATAAGGATCATATTACCACAGACACACATGAGAACAAAGTCTCTAGATATCCCACCATGACTATATTTTTCTATACAGGTTTCATATGTAGATTTTACTGCAATTTTTTTATTAGAACATTTTTACATTACAGGTAATATACACTGAAATACTTCATCCTATCAAGTTAATTCCTAATTTGAATGCTTTCAAAAACATCCAACCAACAGAACCTTATCTGTTTTCTCCAAAAGCGTGAGCACACATTTTTATTAAGAGCCTCCTTTTAGCTTTCAGCTTAGACACTTTAAACCCTGATACTAGGAAAAATACTTTTTATAAGACACGTCATCAAGTGAAAAACCACAGAAGCACCTAACCCATGAATCTGATTGTCACCCACAGGAAACATCACATGAGTGATGGAAATTTCTACTCTCCAGCTTCTCATAATGCCATCACGGTTGAGAAGTTTATTCTTGTCTGGTGAACTTGAAAAATATAATAATGCATCCTCTGAAATTCTTTTCCAAGTGTTTCACTGCAGAGTGTAGCAGTTTGCTTTATCCCTCAAGAGCATATAGATCCTTCTTGAGGACTCCTGTGAGGTCGTGGGGAAGGAACAATCTTCTTACTACTGTGGAACGCCTCAAGCATGTCAGACCAAAAATGACAACAATGCCAGATTTTGCACAATTGGGCATTCTGATATCCAAGTCAAATTCCTGACTTACAATGCAAAGGTAAAATTTAGAAAGCAGAATTCTAATCCAATGAATGTGCAAGCATGGATGAGATGGAAATAGTTACCACGAACAGACCACGGCACCAGTCTGCTGGCAGCACCAATGCGAATGTTCACCAGAAGGAGAAAACACGGTGTCTTTATATCACATAGAGAAAGAAGAATGAAAGGATAAGCACTCATTTTGACCTTAAAAGTTAAAATATATCAAATACTGTCTTCAAAGATCTTGAAATAATTTTGCAATCCCACAGTGCTCCTTAGGTGGCATTTCTTCCAAACAATAGGCACTGGTGCTGCAACACATCTACTGAGCATCCACCTAAGTACCCAGAGAAGTGTTGGTAATAACCAGCAGAATACACTTTCAGTATGATGAAGAGCAAGGAATTAGCTTCCACTACAGATCTTTGCTTCTTCCTGGTGCAATAGAGAAGTTCTCCCCCAAAACTGCCCCAACCTTCATGCTACCAACTGTGCAATGCGAAGCTGATCCCAGAATGTGACATAAGTGAGAAAACCACTTCTAAGCCTCCACATTCCACCCCTGCACTTACTACAAAGCCCACAGATCCTCTTCTTCCAGAACCTAATACTCTGCTGGTTGCCAGTGCCTCTTTTACAGTACAGAGAGTGAAGGACACAAGTGTCCATCTGTCACAAACAGAGGGGGAGGTTTATGGCACAACTGCCTGAGTTGCAGCTTCAGAAATCAGTACTGCACTAATGGCAAGAATGAGAAGATACAGCAACAGCTACAGTTTTTGAAATTATTTCCTGTCCCTGCCTGTTCACTACTCACAGATGAAGAGACAGCAGATGGGCATAGCAAAACAGGCAGCCAGACCAAGCTACTGTGGCAGAAGAGCTCTTGCAGAAACAGCTTCACCCCCTGGACTGCTACTCCAGGCTCAGGACTCAAGTGTCGACTTGGTAGAGGACCTCATTGCTGGTTGATGTGAAGTGATGAGCCGGCTGACGAGCAGCGGCTGCAGAAGTTCAAATCAGCTCAGGGCAATTTCTGTGGGGATCCCTACTGAGCTCACACCACAGCTGCAGAAAATATGCTGTGTAACAATTCTTTTTTTCCACTATCACCTGCAAATTTCTCAAACCCAGCTGCTATAAGGCAGGCATGTCACTTTCAATTGTCAAACACACAATTAACTGCTGGGGGCTAATATAGAGGCACAAAATACCCACAAAACAGTTTTGAAATGCTTATGCACAAGATCTGTGAAGTAAGCCATAACTGATACACAACTGAATCCACAGGACTTCCCAAATGCACTTATGGAATCTGCATTTTGAGTGGTTGGTTTTCATGTATTAAACCATCATGCAGATATCAATCAATTGTATTCCAAGACCTGTCCAAGAACCTGCAGCGGGCTCACCAACCGGCAGTGATGTTCATTTGCAAGTGAAAACAGTAAGAGTATCACTGCAGGAACAGTTCTTCACCAAATGCTTCTAAATTCAATCCAGAAGCTGAGAGGTGAATAATATTAGTATTAAGAAAGTTAATAGAGAAACCTGTGATCATGCTTTAAATCTATTTTTTAAAGGTACAGGCAAGACTGTAATCAAACTACTTGCCTATACATTTACTGTTTAGAAAACTGCTAGGTGTAGCCTAGGTCACAAACTATTAAAAAAAAAGGAGATACAAAAAGAAAAAAAAAAAGAAAACCTTTGTTTCTAAAAGCAGTACTCGAAATAGAAACTGAATCAGGTTGAAATATCAAAAGTATTCACCCCATTCAGTAAACTTTTCTTCCTTCCAACCAGACAGAGCTGTTACCATACTACTTTTAGTATACACTGACATATATCAGAAATATCTGATATGGCTACACCACAAGACCACATGGAGATCCCCACACGAGCCTGAAACGAAATGAGCTAGCTCTGCAGAAGCAGAATAGCCACAGTTGTGGCCTTCAATGCTGTGCTGCTTCCAGGGCTCAGGCTAACCAGGCTGCACAGTGGCATGCTGTTGTACAAGCTAATTTGCTTTCCCATACAGTACTGTACTGCATAACGCTGTTATGCACAACTCTTATGTATTCAGTACATGCTTCATTTTTCCTTCAGTCATACCACAAAGCATTAATTTACATCGTTTTATTATTTTTCCAACGCCTCTGCACAACAGAGTTCAGTCCTGCCAGTTATGCAAGCAGAGGAGCACAGAGATCCCTTCTTGCCTTGGGGATTTTTAACAAATTGCTAGCTCTGCACTACAAGGTTCACAGAGGTAGAAGCCTAAGTTGCACTAGCGAGTTCAAAGGGTTCTCCTCACTCCTACTACAAGAAATAGCTTGTGTGCAGTAGTCAAAGTAGTCAAATATTTTTCAGATATAATGAGTGTATATGCTTTAAAAGATGTACTCAAATTTTACATTAATAATGACCAACTCTTTAAAGACTTTCCTACTAGACTCCTGTGCAGTACATAAACAGCATGAAGAATATTGGGAGGGGATAGTACAATGTCTGCAGAAAGGTTTCTGTTGGTCTAACTGGTTTAAACTGCCTTTGTAGTAAGGCCTTTGTGTCCTATAAGGAAAAACCTTCCTATGTACCATACTTTGCTCCTGAGATGCAGCCTCACGGCAAACTAAGCAGCACTACAGTAAAGCAAACAGCCAGGCCATTCACACACTCATGTGAGCCTTTGCAGAACTGCTCAAGTGTTTCAGCAGCATTGTACACGGGACAGAAGCTGCCAGCAGATTGCAACACAAGCAACCAGCCTGGGTCTGGTACCACAGCCCAGCTGTCCAGCACACCTAAAGCCAGGTGCTGCCAGGACGCCCCCTGAGCACACTGCAATGCCCTTTGACAAGTCAGCTCAGCTGGGTTAGTGCTCTGATAAGCCATCTGCATATATCTGCACTGTTTCTTACTAGTACCCAGAACCATGGTACTTTTCTCCAGAGCATACCAGCTCCTCCATTATTCCAGATAACAGAAACAGTTTCCACAGCAGAGGCAAACTATCTTTGTCCTTTTAGAAGGTGGTGCCCTGTGTTTCCTGGCTTCCCTATCTCACAGTCGTACCATGTACCAGGTATGTTTATTTTTACATTTACATCTCCCCGTCCCAACATTTTATATGTTAATTAGTCTGTCAGAGGTGGCACAGCAGGCTGCAGGAGCCTTAGTGCAACCTGGCATGATCATTGTTATTGCTGCTGAAACAGGTGTCCACTTATTTTATTCAGGGTCACTGACACAGGTCCCATAGCCCACCAACACTGCCTTCTGCCAGAGGTTCCCAAGCCCCAGGGGCAGAACACACACACACACACAGTTCCCTGTTACAACACCAGGTGCCAACTCATTAACTACCTGAACCATCAGATTCTGTGCATCACTGACAGAATCCCACACTCCTGCTGCTACTACAGCAACTTCTGCTACACACACAGAAACAACTCTGAGGGCACAGGGACACCTGAGACTGCCACAGTTGTGCCCTAGGTGAGCATATGTCACTGCACCTAAATCCATGCCTCTACGGGAGTTTGTCAGTGCACCCATACCAGCCAAGTCTTACTGTAAAAACCCACTTTAGGTGAACAGTAAGGTCAGTAAGAACATTTGCGTATTTATTTTTGAGAAGGAAAAAAAAGTACAACACTGAGTATGGAGCTGTATCAGGGAAGGTTTAGGTTAGAAAGGTTCTTTGCCTAGAGAGTGACCAGGCACTGGAACAGGCTCCCTAGGGCAGTGATCACAGCACCAGCCTGACAGAGTTCAAGAAGCATTTGGACAATGCTCTCAGGCACGTGGTGTGATTCTTGAACTGTCCTGTGCAGGCCTAGAAGCTGGACTTGATAATCCTTGTGGGTCTTTTCCAGATCAGGATAGTCTATGATTTTCTTTCTGCAGAATGACATATTATCTAGGTTTTTTTCCCTACCACATATATGTTTCTTATGACAACCATTTCCCACTCATCCTTCTGATGGATCAAACCTGGAAAAACTTGTAAATACTGACCATGACTTTCCATCCATTCAGTCTAACAAGGATACTCTTCCTCCTCCATTCTTTCTCATAGAATTATACAAAGACACATGCCATTAAAAAGTCCCTCTACAGTATCTGTTGGGGGGCACAGGGAAAGATGAAAAATCAGGAGCTGCAAATCAAGGTACGGTATGATCAGATCCATCTGAAAAAGACTCCTCCTCTCTTTGGATTCCTCATACAAAATACAGCTACAACTGACATCCCTTTTTAAATGCTAGAATTATTCCCCCCTAGTCAGAGGGTGCTTTCACACTCAAATTGATTTCGCAGAATCAATTACGTTAGAAAAGACCTCTGAGATCATCAAGTCCAACCTCTGACCAAACACTATCTTGTTGACAAGACCATGGAACTGAGTGCCACATTCCAGTCTTTTCTTAAACACTTCCAGGGATGGCAAATCCACCACCTCCTTGGGCAGCCCATTCCAGTATCTAATTGTCCTTTCTGTGAAGAAATTCCTCCCAATGTCCAACCTGAACCTCCCCTGGTACAGCTTGAGGCGAAGTTCTCTGGTGTTGTCCTGTCGCTGGTTACCTGCGAGAAGAGGGCAACCCTCACTTTGCTTCCTTCCAGGTACTTGTAATGAGTGATAAGATCACCCCTGAACCCCCTTTTCTCCAGGCAAAACAACCCCAGCTCCCTCACCCACTCCTCATAGGACATGCATTCCAGATGCTTCATCAGCTCCACTGCCCTTCTCTGGACATGCTGCAGCACCCCAATGTCCTTCCTAAATTGAGGGGCACAGGACTGGAGACAGTACCTGAGGTGCAGCCTCACCAGTGCTGGGTACAGGGGGACAATCACAGCCCTGCTCCTGCTGGCCACACTATTGCTGATACAGGCCAGGATGCCATTGGCCTTCTTGGCCACCTGGGCACACTGACTCATGCTCAGCTGGCTGTCAACCAGCACCAGATCGTTTTCCTCCGGGCAGTTTTCCAGTCCCTCTTTTCCAGACCTGTAGTGCTGCCTGGGGTGGTTGAGACCCAAGTGCAGGAGCCGGCACCTGACCTTTTTGACCCTCCTACTGCTGGGTCTCGGCCCATTGATCCAGCCCGTTCAGAGAGCTCTGCAGAGCCCTCCTGCCCTTCAGCAGACGGACAGATGGACACTCCCTCCCGTTTTGTAAGGAGCACGCAGTTAGTCAGCAAAGCTTTGACTTAGCATTTGTCCTCGCCTGCTCTTAGGACTGTGGTGCCCAAGTCCACACCGCAGCCAGGTCAGCTCCTCGCTGCTGCTTCCAGACGCTGCAGAGTCTGCGTCCTGTAAAACAAGCTCAGAGCCAGCCCCAGATACCTGCCAAGTCAGTTCAGGTAGCACCGGGACATTATTTACATGTGCCATGCAGAGCTAGGGGCACGTTACATTTGCCTTATCAATAAACTGGATTTAAAAAATAAGTTAAATTTCACATTTAGAAAAGAGGGGTCGTTTGCGTTTTCTGATACGTATCTTGGCACGGAGATCTACATCGATGCATGCAAATACATATAAACACACAGAGAGACACGGACAGGCAGACACATACACAGGCAGACACACAGACACAGACACACCCGCGGCTCCTCCCGCCGTCACGCAGTTTAAAAGTCCAGCCAAGAGAGGAACGAAGCCAGCGGCTCCCCCGGGGCCGACGGCGGCAGCGCCGCCCGCACTCCCACCCCTGGCCGCCGCCCTCCCCGGACCGCGGCGGGGCCGGTACTCACAGAACCCGTTGGAGCCGGTGCTGGTGAACATGGCAGCGGCCCGGCCCGGCCCGGCCGGCGGGCGCGGCTGGCGGAGCCCCCGAGGTCGGGCAGCCCCTGAGGAGCCGCGGCGGGCCGGGGCCGGGGCCGGGGCCGGGGCCGGGGCTGGGGAGGGCTAAGGCGGCCGCGATGGGCCAAACGCCGCCGCCAGGCGACCGGGCGGCGCCCCCTGCCGGGCCCGCCGGGCGAGCGGGGCCGCGGGCGGCGCTTCGGCGTGCGTGTGTTATCTGTAATTACTCCTGTCTTCAGAAATGGGGAGAACTTCTCTCCACTGAGGGCGGCAGAGCACTGGGACAGGCTGCCCAGGGAAGGCATGGTGCCTCCCTCTCTGGACACATTCAAAACCCACGTGAGCACTTTCCCGTGTCACCCGCTCCCGGTGACCTTGCCTTGGCTGGGGCGTTGGACTAAACGATCTCCAGAAGCCGCTTCCAGCCCTAACTACTCTGTGATTTCGTGGTTCAACACGATTTGAATTTTAAATTTGTAGGTGCCTTGAGGAAGCCTGACTCCTTACCCTTGGGAAAACTCTGGCCCTCGAGGCTCACCCTGACCTGGGGAGTCCAGCAGGTAAATGTCTCATTAGGAGCTGTGGGTGAGCTGTCATTGCAGCTAATGGAGACACAGCAAACACAGACAGCAGAGTTTGGAGAGCTTTTCAGGTGGCCCAATGAAGGTGTCTGCTTTAGGATCAAATTAATTCCTCCCCAGGCTCCACCAAGGGACCACATTGAAGAGATCACCACGAGCTCTAATGGCACATCAGACTCCAGCTCTCTAACAGCAAGGTAGGCACCCAAAATGAGGTGAGCCAAATTCCTGATTTCATAGGAGATATGGTATCATGAGGCTGAAACTATTAGGGCACCGAATTTCACTGACATGTTCATGAAAATGTAGAACTCAGACTTTACTGAAATAAATCATGCTGGGCATTTAAAAAGGTGACAATGCTTTGCAGCACAAGGTGCGTGTGCTTTGTGTTTGTGTGGTGATGGAACTGTGGGTCTCAAAGTCACATTTACCTTACTGCAGTACAAGAGTGAAAACAAATGCCACTCTGGAACTGCAAAATGTGACTTGTCAGCTAGGTAACAATTTTTAAGTAGGCAACCAATAATAAGAAATTTTAGGTAAGTAATATATTTCTTATATTCCATACATTTTGTTATATACCATAAAAATGGATTTTAATATTTGCATTCAAATGCAATTATTAGCCAGCATTCAGAAATGCTGAGTTCCCAAATCTTTATAAACATAATCTCTTAAACACTGCCAAGGGGACATAAAAAGACCTTTTGCTTTGGCTCACAAAGGCTTCAGCTAAGATCAGCATATCAGCATGTATTTTTCAAGTGGCCAATTTCCAGCACTAACTTCAGATTTGTGTTGCTCACTTGTCCTCTCTATACAAGGCCTGCATCAGGCAGGTAGGATTGGGAGTCACAATCCGCTCACAGAGCAGGAGGTATGTCTAAACCAGCCAGGAGGAAGAGACAAAGAGATAGCACATTGGAAATCCTGACTTATCCCAAGCTGAGGTTCTTTCCTCTGAAAAGAATCTAAATTGGATTCACAGCATGAAACCCATCCATACTTTGTGTCTTTGGCTAGAGACAACCAGCTTACTCTCTGCTGTTAAAGCGCAGCTGGAAGAAATGATTTGCTACAGAAATTTTCCTTCTTTCTTTCAAATGCAAATGACTCTGGCTGCTGTATGCTACATATGCAAACTCTCTCTTGCCAGTGCACTGCTGAATGCCTGTAACCACACAAAAGCGACAGGCAACCCTCATTTCTAAGGAATGGAAGGTAAATAAGGAGGTGCAAAGCCTGCAAAGCTTGTAATAGCTCCAGCGTGAAACCTCTTTGGGAAAAGCTTGGGTGTCTCCTGAAGCTTTAGGGCTCTAATGAGGTACTCATGGGTTAATTAATTACCATTTTGAACTTTTTTGACTAACCGCCACTTAAAGTAATTAAGCCTTTTTGTGGATCTGGCTTTACTATAGGTGAGGATAAAACCTGAAAACTTTTCCAGTATTGCCTGTGTAATAGGTTTAGGAATGTTGTTTCGGTGCTGAAGACAAAACTTGCCTTTTTTTCTCTTCTTTCAGTCTCACAGAATCAAGTGACAGAGCAATCATTATTTAAAAGTTTACAGTCCTAAGAGCTAAGACCTAGTATTTTTCTCTTTTATAGGCTCTGTTTTGAAGGTTTCCCTAGATTGATGTCCTGCAAGGTAATCACATTAGAGGGATTCTCCTCTGCCACGTCAGGCGCTAGAATTGGATTCAAGTCATAATCACTGAACGTACTAGAGACTTAGGCATGTATTCCACTCAATGAGGATGCATTTGGGAAATGTTTAAGGGCCTTTTTGAAAGCTGCTCTGTGGACTTGTTATCATTGACAGATACAGTGAAGCTGGATGAGTAGCAATAGCTGGAAAGCTTCTACCAACAGCAAACCAAAACCCTAGCAGATTTGTCAATACTGCTGGAATACAGGCAGCTGGCTCTCAATCTATTTGCTGCTATCTTATAAATGTCTACAAATACATTACAGAGTCTGTGAAACCCCTGATGTTTTTATCCCTTTTTTTTTAATTATTATGTCAATATTTCTGAGATTACAGCAGATGAGATCCACTATGTATTTTTGAGAAAACTGCACACCCCTTGCTAATAATTATAGTTTCACATACTGATTGAATAGTAGAGGAAATGTAGTTTTTGCCCTCAGATAGAGTGCCAAGCAGAGAGGTATTTTTATCACAACACCATCGCTGTCAACTAGTAGTGTGTCATAAGAATTAAGCAAATTATTTGCATTGTTGAACTATACAGTGTTGACTACTTTGGAGTTAAATGAAATCATCAGTCCTCATGCTTGCCTTGGAACATATCCCAGAATAGGAAGGCTAGCACTTATCTACTAATCTACTCAGAACAAGCTTAGAAGGCTTTGACACTGCTCAAATGTCAGCTTGAATATCTCCCATTTGTTTATTACATCTAGTTAGTGGGGTCAATGTGGTATGGTCAAAAGAAAGTTATTTAAATTTCCTGCTCAAAAGAAAATCCCAGGAGACTGGAATTTAGATTTCTAACTATTTTCTAATATGATTAGGTTGCTTTCTTCTCTGAACTTGCAATGTTTCTGAAGCAATTCTTAATTACTAATTAATCTCCAACAGTCAGATTCTCCTCTGGCATAAAGAATGAAGGACAGCAGCAGAGTAAAACAGGATGGAAATGTAACACCTTGCTTAGGAACATTCTGACTAAACTCAATGCAGGTTAATGATTCTGCGGGTTAATTGCAAATGTTCTCTGTCTCTTTGACATCTAGGGTTTCCATGGCATTCATGGTTAGCTCTTGCAGTTATTAAAATTACCTGGAATATTAACAGATACATAGAGAAGTTAATGCTGAATTTAATTATTTCAGTAAATTCTCCCTACAGTTTCTAATCTTTGTATTCAGTTACAGAAGATGTTAAGGAAAACAGCTGTGCAACACACATGCCCTGCAGAGGAAAATTCAGCAGCACTGCAGCTTGCTGATAGCAACTTGCATAGGAACAGGAGGAAGGACAGAAGGCAGAGACTCACTCTGCTAAAATCAGACTGATTTAACCTGTACCTTTCCAATATTAGTGAATTTCTCTCACTCCTTCAGAAGGGAACAAGACTTTATACTGCAGCAGACCTCCTGTCCTTTTAAAGTCTAGTGTGATCATTTTATTACATAGTTTGGGGGTTTTTACTAGAGCTAGAAGATACAGAATGTTTTCTAGCTCAGTTCTTTCCATGTAGAGCTGGTAGGCATATAGTTAATAAGGGGCAATGGAGTGGCTGAAGGAATATTGGGCTTTGTTTGTTATTTTTGCAATTGATTTTGCATCACACTATAATAAAAAGTTTAGAATGCTCAAATATGTTCCATTAGTTAAGGTGCTAAACTTAAAATGCCATGTTAAACCTGAATGCCATGTCAGTGTCTGGTAACATGAATGTGGGCAGCTATTGCTTCAGTAACTCAAACACATCACTGTCTTGTTTTTCAGCTGGACCTCCTGAATGGAAGGCAATGACAGTGCAGTAACAGTTTAAGGTACTGGCTTATCTGGAGCTGAGCCACATGCACTTTTACCCTGCAGGTCTTAACCATCACTTCCCTTTCAACCATCAGTCATGTGATCCCAAGCACTGGCACCAAATGCACCCAGATTTTGGCATCTCTGTGTTCAAGGTGCAGCACCGAGCACTTGATCAGCAGCTTGGTCTCTAAGTACTCATAAAACACTGCTTAAAGGTACTTAAATTCCGTGTCACATTTATTTTCAATAAATTTATTTCAATAAAGGTTGAGATCCTGTGAAAAACAAGAACATATGGCAGGCATCACCAGGAACCAGATCCTAATACAAACATATTGGGAAAGCAAGGTTAAGATAGAATATTAAAAACTCAGATTAAAATCAACAATTAAGAAGCATCAGAATCAATCTGCCTATGCTCATGTTTTATTTCACTTAGATGAGACTTCTTGTGAGAATTAAAAATGCACTGGTCTGGCTGCCCTTGTTTAAGCAGCTGTCGCTGCATTTTAGATCACTCATTTGAAGGCCATTAATTTACTGCAAAGTAAATTGTGAAACATAGTAAGCATTAGCAAAATGATAATGTTTAAGCATAGTGCTCAGAAGACCCAATTAAGGAATCCATTAGGAGGGCAAATAATTATGTATAGCATTGCATAACACGATGTACTTTGCATATCTGTGTTCTCTGATGCATACAAGAGATCAAGTACTAGTCATCTATTTCAGACTGAATTTATGTCAAAGAGTACCTTTGAGATCTGGAGCATATGCTAAATTACCCAAGATAACTATCAGTGATAGCAAAAACACTAGAGCCTTTAAGATGCAGAAAATTATTTGCATAGTTCCACACAGGTACGACTGTGCTGAAATTGCCTATTCTGAAAATCAGATGTTAGAAGATATTTATAAAGTTTTTAAAGGCCTTCCTTATCTCTGATAGCTACCCATATTTCTCAGATATCCTCATCCTCT